AAAGACGATCAAGGACGAAAAAAGACGACAACGGACGAAAAAGACGAAAAAGGACGAGAAGGACGAAAAAGACGATTCAGGACGAAAAAGGACGAACAAAGACGAAAAACGACGAAAAGGACGAAAACGGACGATGAAGGACGAAAAAGGACTAACAAAGACGAAAAAGGACGAAGAGGACGAAAAAGGATGATGAAGGACGAAAAAGGACGACAATGGACGAAAAAGGACGAAGAAGAACAAAAAAGACGAAAAAGGACGAGAAGGACGAAAAAGACGATTCAGGACGAAAAATGACGAACAAAGACGAAAAACGACGAAAAGGACGAAAAAGGACGGTTAAGGACGTGCAAGGACGAAAAAGGACGAACAAGGACGAAAACGGACGACAAAGAATAAAGAGAACGAAAAGGACGATCAAAGACGAAAAAGGACGAAAAGGGCGAAAGAGGCTATTAAGGACGAAAAAGGCGTTTAAGAACGAAAAAGAACGAAGAATGACGACAAGGGCGAAAAAGGACGAAGAAGACGAGTATAAGAACAAAAATGGACGAAAAAGGACGAGGAAGGACGAAAAAGGAGGAAAAATACGATTAAGAACGAAAAAGGACAAACAGGACGAAAAAGGACGAACAGGATGAAAAGGACAATTAAGGACGAAAAAGTACGAGTAAGGACAAAAGGACGAACATAACGAAAAAGGACGAAAAAGGACGAAAAGGACGAAGAAGAACGAAAAAGACGATTAAGGACGAAAAAGGACGCGAAGGACCAAAAAGACGATTCAGGACGAAAAAGGACGAACAAAGACGAAAAACGACGAAAAGGTCGAAAAAGGACGGTTAAGGACGAATAAGGACGAATAAGGACGAACAAGGACGAAAAAGGACGAACAAGAACGAAAAAGGACGACAAAGAATGAAGATGAGGAAAAGGACGATTAAAGACGAAAACGGACGAAAAGGACGAAAGAGGCTATTAAGGACGAAAAAGGCGATTAAGAACGAAAAAGAACTGAGAATGACGACAAGGGCGAAAAAGGACGAAGAAGACGAAAAAGGACGAACAGGATGAAAAAGGACGAACAGGATGAAAAGGACGATTAAGGACGAAAAAGTACGAGTAAGGACGAAAAAGGACAAAACAGACGATTAAGGATGAAAAGGACCAAAAGGACCAGAAAGGCGACAAGGACGAAAAAGGACGAATAAGGACGAAAAAGAACGAAGAAGGACGAAAAAAGACGAAAAGGACGAAAGAGGCTATTAAGGACGAAAAAGGCGATTAAGAACGAAAAAGAACTGAGAATGACGACAAGGGCGAAAAAGGACGAAGAAGACGAAAAAGGACGAACAGGATGAAAAAGGACGAACAGGATGAAAAGGACGATTACGCACGAAAAAGTACGAGTAAGGACGAAAAAGGACAAAACAGACGATTAAGGATGAAAAGGACCAAAAGGACCAGAAAGGCGACAAGGACGAAAAAGGACGAATAAGGACGAAAAAGAACGAAGAAGGACGAAAAAAGACGAAAAAGGACGAAAAGGACGTAAAAGGACCAAAAAGGACGATTGACGACGAACAAGGACGAAAAAGGACGAACAAGAACGAAAAAGACGATGAAGGAAGAAAAAGGACGAAAAGGACGAAAAGGATGAAAAGAACGAAAAGGACGAAAAGGACGAACAAGAACGAAAAGGACGAACAAGAACGAAAAAGACGATGAAGGACGAAAAAGAACGAAAAGGACGAAAAGAACGAAAAGGACGAACAAGAACGAAAAGGACGAACAAGAACGAAAAAGAGGAAGAAGGACAAAAAAGAACGAAAAGGACGAAAAGAACGAAAAGGACGAAGAGGATGATGAAGGACGAACAGGATGAAAAGGACGATTAAGGACGAAAAAGTACGAGTAAGGACGAAAAAGGACAAAACAGACGATTAAGGATGAAAAGGACCAAAAGGACCAGAAAGGCGACAAGGACGAAAAAGGACGAATAAGGACGAAAAAGACCGAAGAAGGACGAAAAAAGACGAAAAAGGACGAAAAGGACGTAAAAGGACCAAAAAGGACGATTAACGACGAACAAGGACGAAAAAGGACGAACAAGAACGAAAAAGACGATGAAGGAAGAAAAAGGACGAAAAGGACGAAAAGGACGAAAAGGATGAAAAGAACGAAAAGGACGAAAAGGACGAACAAGAACGAAAAGGACGAACAACAACGAAAAAGACGATGAAGGACGAAAAAGAACGAAAAGGACGAAAAGAACGAAAAGGACGAACAAGGACGAAAAGGACGAACAAGAACGAAAAAGAGGAAAAAGGACAAAAAAGAACGAAAAGGACGAAAAGAACGAAAAGGACGAAGAGGATGATGAAGGACGAAAAAGACGAAAAAGACGAAAAAGGCGATTAAGGACGAAAAAGTTGTTAAGGACGAAAAAGGACGAAGAATGACGAAAAGGACGAAAAACGACGAAAAGGACGATTAAGGACGAAAGGGACGAACAGGACGAAAAAGGACGTAAAGGGGGAAAAAGAACGAAAAAGACAATTAAGGACAAAAAAGGACGAGAAGGACGAAAATGACGATTCAGGACGAAAAAGGACGAAAAAATCGATTAACGACCAAAAGACGATTAAGGACTAAAAAGGACGAATAAGAACGAAAAAGGACGAATAAGGACAAAAAGGACGAAAAAAGACGAACAAAGACGAAAGAGGACGAAAAGGACAAAAAAGGACGCTTAAGGACGAAATAAAACGAAAAGGACGAAAAAGAATGAAAAGGACGAAAAGGACGATTAAGGACGAAAAAGGACGAAAAGGACGAAAAAGAACGAAAAGGACGAAAAAGGACGAAAAAGGACGAAAAGGACGAAAAGGACGAAAAAGGCAATTAAGGACGAAAAAGGCGATTAGGGGCGAAAAAAAAACGAAGAATGACGACAAAGGCGAAAAAGGACGAAGAAGTCGAGTATAAGAACAAAAAATCCGAAAAAGGACGAAAAGGACGATTAAGGACGAAAAGGACGATTAAGGACGAAAAGGACGATTAAGGACGAAAAAGGACTAATAAGGACGAAAAGGACGAAAAAGGACGTGAAGGACGAAAAAGACGATTTTGGACGAAGGACGAAAAAGGACGGAAAAGGACGAAAAAGGACGAGAAGGACGAAAAAGACGATTCAGGACGAAAAAGTCGATTAACGACGAAAAAGGACGAAAAGGACGAAAAAAGACTCTTAAGGATGAAAAAGGACAAAAAGGACGAAAAGAACGAACAAATACGGTTAAGGACGAATAAGGACGAAAAAGGACGAAAAGGACGATTAAGGACGAAAAGGACGAAAAAGGGCGAAAAGGACGATTGAGCACGAAAAGGAGGGGAAAGGATGAAAAGGACGAAAAAGGACGAAAAGGACGAAAACGGACGAAAAGGACGAAAAAGATAAATGTCAGAAATACAAAGAACGTAATTACAAAAAGTTAAACATGAACAACTATCTCGGACTCAAAATTCAAGCAGCCAGGTATTAAACACCAATCGGTAAAATGGTTCAAATATCGTCAGGTATATTTTTCTGATGCCAGTGGACTAAATAAAGATATCAGAAATATATCGAACTTAATAGAAATCATTAAACATTAACAACCACCTCGAACTCCAAATTCATTCAGGTTCAAGTAAACACCAACCGAGAAAATGGTTCAAACGACATCAAATATACTTTTTTGATATCAATGAACCAAGCATGGATACCAGAAATGGAAAGTAAGCTATAGCAAAGATTAAAAATGAACAACCTCCGCGAGCCCAAAATTCAAACAGGTATGGGGCACATCATTCGAGAAAATGGTTCAAACATCATCAAATGCACTTGTCTGATATCGCTGGACCAAGTATGGATACCGCTGATACCAAAAATATAAAAACGTAATAGAAAAGATTAAATGAGAAAAAGCATATCGAGTTCAAAATTCAAACAGGTATGGATAAACACCAGTTCAGAAAATGGTTCAAACATCATCAAATATCCGTTCGGTGGTTATTAAACAAATATTAACCCTTGCTGTAAATTCTAAATTCTAGACAAACAAGAATTGTACCTCAACATTTTGTCAATTGTTTTATGACAGACATAGGCAACCAACTATACCAGAGTTAGTACAGTAGAATCTATGCATGGTATTGTCGACGCAAATTATCTTATGATTTTAGTTTTCCGAACAAAATATTGCATTTCTAAATGAAAAAAAAATTAATTCAGTTATTTCTTCGCAATTTTATTTGTACTGTGTGATTATTTTCTCCTCGATTTCTAACCTGTCAATCTTGAAGATGGCACCGTTACGTCAAGAACGACAGTACACATCGTTAAATCATTTATTATTATTATTTTTTCTTAAAAACACTACAAATGCAGTCATTTTAAAGTCAAAATATTTCAGAATTCCAGCTCTTAGATCAAAAACAATATTTTGCGTGTAGGCAACCAACACTACACACAATGAAAACAACGCCAATTCAGTTAACATTTTTCCAAGAACCCCAGAGACCGCAAGCTCCACCCCCATACCGAGTGTTGAAAAACCGGTCCCCGTTACCTCACGCCGCGCTTTCCACTTTAATGAAAGCGCAAATTGAAAGCGGTTTCCTCCGATATGCAAAAAGTGGCCATAAAAATCCGAGAATGTGGAAATTCCGAGTGCCCCAGTCGCTGCGATTACGCCATAACCCATCCAATTTGCCGAATAAAAATCGCCCGACTTTCTCGCAGGACGAGATTCTTAGATTCTTGTCGCAGGATCACGTAATCCCGCTTTCACGAGGCGCAAGGACGGGAAGTTGGATGTAAACAAATATGTAAACAAATCGACAACAATGCAAGGACCTGCAGATAAAAGATAAGCGGTTGCGTAAGAAGGTTTTGCCAATGAAGTGATTAGTAGATAAAAGAAAACTCTATAACATTTTTAACATTTTTTTTTTTTTTTTAATTTCGACACAAACTAAAGACAGAAATTTTGCAAAAATTGAAAGACAATCGAGGATTGAATGAAAATCATCCAGACAACCCGAATTTGAGTCCAAAGTACTAATCAAAGTCACCGGTACTACGCTAAGAGGGGAGCACCCCTCTTCCTATAAATACGAAGATTTTCTCTCAATGCACTAGTGCACCTATAGACAAAATGCATAAGGTATGTCCATCTACAGTAGTACCACCACTCACTCTTCGTTTCTAGGTACTCCTGTTAGTAGTGTCCCTAGCGGCATCCTGGGCCTATCCCATCGACTACGGGACCCAGTTAACCCCAGCAATCGTCAAAGAAGACCCGGCGGTGAGTACCTCTCCCATTTAGTACCACTACCAAGCACCCTCTTCCACAGGCCTACCCAAAGTACCACTTCGAGTACGGCGTGAAAGACGACCAAACCGGCGACATTAAAGAACAAGCAGAAGAGCGCGACGGCGACGTGGTCAAAGGCGAGTACTCCCTAATCGAGCCCGACGGTACTCTCCGCAAAGTGCAGTACCAAGACGACGGCAAAAGCGGCTTCAACGCCATCGTGACCCGCGGCCACTCCACGCACCCCGCCCCCAAAAAAATTGCAGTACCCGTTCCGGTACCTCTCCTCTATCACCACTAACCATAAAAATGTAAATTTTCCCAGATTACAATAAACATTGTTGTCCCTAAAATATGCAATTTTATGCAAATCATTTCCCATACGTTACACAAGTCCTTTGTTTTTTACGATTGTTTCAAGGCTGTCGAAATTGGAATTGAATATTTCTCAAAGCGGAGTTCGCACTGTTTAAAATAGAATGCGGCGTGTAGTGTGCATTATTGATGTGACGCTTTTCCGATATCCTGCATACTTTAAATATATTGAAAACGTTTTGTTTTATGGGGAAGAGGTGAGCAAATTTAGTAGCGATTTCGAGGGGGCGCGGACGCGCCGCCGAGGGGTGGCTGGAGGGATTTATTGTTCTAAGGGGAGTCTAAATTTGCGGTTTTTCGTAGTTGTGTGATTGCTTGAGGGCTCGCGCTCGGGAAATCATATTCAATTAAAAATGCGGAAAGGTGGGCAGGGGAGCGTTCGTGTCAGATTTTAACAGATATTTACGTCACGAGTGGGATAAAATCGCTGTTGTGGCACGAGGGCGAAGTTTGAAATGCGGTTTTAATTTAGAAATCTATAAAGTTAGAAAACCTGAAACGAGAATTACTTTAAGCAAAGAAGCGTTTAATATACTCGGATTTTATAAAGTGAAGAATGTGATCTGAATTAACTGTCTGTTGGCAATACTTTTTAAACAAAAATATGAACTTTCTTGCGTTTATGTTGGCACCACGGAAGTAATTGTCTGACAGATATGTCAATCGTAACATGCAATAAATTCAGGTTATGTTTTGGATACAGTTTGCAAATTAAAAATGTCAACAATGTTAATCTTGACAGCTGACAACCGAAAAGTATAGAAAACATCATGATTCAATTTCAACTAAAAATCCAGAATTGCCAACAGACTCAGTCATTAATACATATTTCTAAGGTTTTATTATGTAGATCCAATAATATGAAACAGTTGGGGGGAGGGGGTTAGAGAGACAGACAGACATGACAGAGAAAAAGAAAAAGAAAAAACAGATAAAAAGAATGACAGATAAAGTGAAATCCAGAAAAACCATGCACATGAAAACAAACAGAAAGAAATTCGAAAAGAGACAAAAAAAGACAGTTTAAAGACAAAAACAGAGAGAGAAAGACAGAAAGCGAGATAGGGACAAAAAATGAAAGAAGATAGAAAGACAGAAAAAATGGCAAACAAAAACACAGAGAGAAACACTTAATGAAAAAAATATTTAACTAGAAAGGAAGACTAAGAAAAACACGAAAACAAAATATACATAGAGCAAAAAATTCTAAAATGAGACATCGAAAATTATCGAAACGACATAGAAAAAGAAAGACACAGAAAACACGGGAATTAAAAAACACAAAAATAAAATAAAAAAGAATAAAAATCGACAAAGAACTTAAAAATGTGTAAGAAAAATACACAGGAACAAACAGAGATAGATTGAAAAAAATTCAGATGAAAAAAACAGAAACAAAGATAAAAGAATGACAGATAGAAAGAAATCCAGAAAAAAGGCTGAAGAGACACAAAAAACAGAAAGAAAGACAGGAACAATGACAGAAAAAGAAAAAAAAGATGAAAATTAAAAAGATAAAGATAAAAATAAAAATTCGGAACAACACGGGAAGAAAGGCAGACAGAATGAAATCTAGGGAGAAACAGAAATAAACATAGACACGAAGTATAACAAACAAGAGATTATATAGAAAGGAAGACAGACAGTAAGAAAATCAAAGAAGAAAGAAAGACAGAGACAAAGAATAAAAGATCAAAAGAAAACACAAAATAATACTTAGACGCGAGAATGACAACCGGAACAAAAAACAAAGAAAAACATCAAAGAAAAAATAGAGACAAAAGGAAAAATTGGAAGAAAGAAGGCATGAAAAAGACAGAGAGAGGAAGACAGGCAAAAACAGAAAGGAAGAAAGAGAAAAAAAAAATAAACAGAAAAAGTAGGAGCAAAGAAAGGAAGATAGAATCGGGGACAAAGACGACTAAAAATAAAGAAAAGACAAAAGAAAAGACAAAAGCAAAGACTGAAAGAATGACTAACAAAAAGTACAGAGAAAAAATTAAAAAAAATACAGATAGAAAAACATTCTGAAACAACAAAAGAAAAACCAGACAAGTAAAAGACCATAAAAATAAAGATAAAAACAATAAAAAGAAAATAAAAAGAAACTGAAAAATGAAAAGAGTGTGGGAGTAAGACAAAAAACGGACAGAAAAAACATAGACAAACATAAAGATAAAAACAAAGATAGAAAGAAGGATAACCAGGGTCAAAGAATGAAAAACTAAAAGAAAAACACAAAAAATATAGAAAAGGAGACAGAAACAACCATGAAATTATAACAAAAGATAGAAAAAAAAAACGAATTTGATTAAAAATTACAGAAAATGTCCAGAAGGAAAGAGAAATATAGACAGACAAAAATAGAGATGTAGAAAAAGATAGACAAAAAGAAACATGAGGACAAAGAAAGAAGCAAAACACAAAAATAGAAAGGAATGGAGGAAGAAATACAGCAAGAGATATAAAGAAAAAAAAATTTATCTGATGGAAAATCGAAGAATCCAAAATCTAGAAACTGAAAATCGAAAAATTGAAAAATCGAAAAATTAAAAACCTGAAAAATCGAGAAATCCAAGAAATCCAAGAAATGCAAGAAATCCAAGAAATCCAAGAAATCCACGAAATCCAAGAAATTCAACAAATCGAAGAAATCGAAGAAATTGCAGTAAACCAAGGAATCCAAAAAATTCAAGAAATCCAAGAAATCCAAGAAATCGAATAAATCCACGAAATGCAAGAAATCCAAGAAATCGAAGAACTAGAAGAACTCGAAGAAATTGAAGAAATCCAAAAAATCCAAGAAATCCAAGAGATCCAAGAAATCCAAGAAATTGCAAAAAAAACAAGAAATCCAAAAAAATCAAGAAATCCAAAAAATCCACGAAATCCAAGAAATCGAAGAAATCGAAGAAATCGAAAAAATCAAAGAAATCGAGGAAATCCAAAAAATCCAAGAAATTCAAGAAGTCCAAGAAATCCAAGAAATCCATGAAGTCCAAGAAATCCAAGGAATCCAAAAAATTGCAGAAAACCAAGAAATGCAAAAAATTCCAAGAAATCCAAGAAATATAAGAAATACAAGAAACGCAAGAAATCCCAGAAATCGAAGAAATTTCAGAAAACCAAGAAATTCAAAGAAATTCAAGAAATCCAAGAAATTGCAGAAAACCAAGAAAACCAAGAAATCCAAAAAATTCAAGAAATACAAGAAATCCAAGAAATCGAAGAAATCGAAGAAATCCAAGAAATGCAAGGAATCTAAGAAATCGAAGAAATTACAGAAAACCAAGGAGTCCAAAAAATTCAAGAAATCCAAGAAATTGCAGAGAACCAAGAAATCCAAAAAATTCAAGAAATCCACAAAATCCAAGAGATCCAAGAAATCCAAGAAATTGCAAAAAAACAAGAAATTCAAAAAATTCAAGAAATCTAAGAAATCCAACAAATACAAGAAATACAAGGAATCCAAAAAATCCAAGAAATCCAAGAAATTGCAGAAAACCAAGAAATCCAAAAAAATCAAGAAATCCAAAAAATCCAAGAAATCGAAGAAATCGAAGAAATCGAAAAAATCAAAGAAATCGAGGAAATCCAAAAAATCGAAGAAACCCAAGAAGTCCAAGAAATCGAAGAAATCCATGAAGTCCAAGAAATCCAGGGAATCCAAAAAATTGCAGAAAACCAAGAAATGCAAAAAATTCCAAGAAATCCAAGAAATATAAGAAATACATGAAACGCAAGAAATCCCAGAAATCGAAGAAATTTCAGAAAACCAAGGAATTCAAAGAAATTCAAGAAATCCAAGAATTTGCAGAAAACCAAGAAAACCAAGAAATCCAAAAAATTCAAGAAATACAAGAAATCCAAGAAATCGAAGAAATCCAAGAAATGCAAGGAATCTAAGAAATCGAAGAAATTACAGAAAACCAAGGAGTCCAAAAATTTCAAGAAAACCAAGAAATTGCAGAGAACCAAGAAACCCAAAAAATTCAAGAAATCCAAAAAATCCAAGAAATCCAAGAAATAAAAGAAATCGAAGAAATCCAAGAAATCCAAGAAATCCAAGAAATCGAAGAACCCAAAGAACTCGAAGAAATTGAAGAAACCCAAAAAATCCAAGAAATCCACAAAATCCAAGAGATCCAAGAAACCCAAGAAATTGCAAAAAAACAAAAAAAACAAAAAATCGGAATATTAAAAAGCGGAAAAATGGAAAGAATTTGAAAAATTGAAAAATAATACATACAATTGAAAATTCGATTAGTGAAAAATCGAAGACTGGAAAAATAAAAAAATCGAAAAATTGAAATTCGGAAAATCGAAAATTCGTAAAACCGATAATCGGAAAATTGAAAATTCGAAATTTGAAAATCCAAAAATATGAAAATTAATTTCGAAAAATCGAAAATTAAAAAATTGAAATATCGAAACTTCCTATTCGATATATCGAAATATCGAATTTTAGGTATATATAAATCTATGTAAAGGTATATTAAGCGTTAATAGTAAACATTACATTACATCGAAAAACCGATAAATCGAAAAGTAAAATAATTGAAAATTCGAATATCGAAAAATCGAAAAGTCGAGAAACTGCAAAAACGAAAAATCGAAAATTCGAAAATCCTAAAATCGAAAAGTCGAGAAATCTAAAAAAACGAAAAATCAAAAATCGAATCGAAAAATGAAAAAATTTGAAAAATTGAGTATTCGAAAACTCAAAAAGTGAAACAGTTCGAATAGTCGAATAGTCGAAAATCGAATAATAAAATCGGAAACTCGAGAAATCGAAAAATACAAAAATCTAAAATTAAAAAAATTGAAACATCGAAAAATGGAAGATGTAAAAAATCGAAAATCGAAAAATCGAAAATCGAAAAATCAAAAAATCGAAAAACGAAATGGTGGAAAATTCGAAAATTGGAAACTAGAAAAAAGTAGAATTGGAAAATTGAGAAATCGAACACTCGAAAAGTAAAAAGATTGACAATTCAAATATCGAAAAACTAAAAATTCGAAAAATCGAAAATAGTAAAAATCGAAAAGTCGAGAAACAGAAAAAACGGTAGAGTAAAAACTGAAGTGTCTAAATTTTGAAGCATGGAAAAGTCGAAAATCGAAAAATCAAAAGTCGAAAAATCGAAAATTGAAAAACTGAAAAATCGGAAAATGGAAAGAATTTGAGAAATCGAAAAATCGAAAAGTCAAACAATTGAAAATTCTACTAGTCGAAAATCAAAAATTTCAAAAATCGAAAATTAAAACAATTGAAATTCGAAAAATCGTGAAATAAAAAAGTTGGGAATTCGAACAATGAAAAATGGAAAAATCAAAAAATTCAAAACTCGAAAAATCGGGAAGTGAAAAAATCGAATAATCCAAAAATCGAGAAAAATAATTGAAAATTCGAATATCGAAAAATCGAAAAGTCGAGAAACTGCAAAAACGAAAAATCGAAAATTCGAAAATTCTAAAATCGAAAAGTCGATAAATCTAAAAAAATGAAAAATCAAAAATCGAATCGAAAAATGAAAAATTAAAAAATTAAAAAATTGAGTAATCGAAAACTCAAAAAGTGACACAGTTCGAATAGTCGAATAGTCGAAAATCGAATAATAAAATCGGAAACTCGATAAATCGAAAAATACAAAAATCTAAAATTAAAAAAATTGAAACATCGAAAAATGGAAGATTTGAAAAATCGAAAATCGAAAAATCAAAAAATCGAAAACCGAAATAGTGGAAAATTCGAAAATTGGAACCTAGAAAAAAGTAGAATTGGAAAATTGAGAAATCGAACACTCGAAAAATAAAAAGAATGACAATTCAAATATCGAAAAACTAAAAATTCGAAAAGTCGGGAAACCGAAAAAACGAAAGAGTAAAAACTGAAGTGTCTAAATTTTGAAGCATGGAAAAGTCGAAAATTCGAAAAATCAAAAATCGAAAAATTGAAAAATCGAAAAATGGAAAGAATTTGAGAAATCGAAAAATCGAAAAGTAAAACAATTGAAAATTCTACTAGTCGAAAATCAAAAACTTGAAAAATCGAAAAATAAAACAATTGAAATTCGAAAAATCGTGAAATAAAAAAGTTGGGAATTCGAACAATGAAAAATGGAAAAATCAAAAAATTCAAAACTCGAAAAATCGGAAAGTGAAAAAATCGAATAATACAAAAATCGAGAAAATAATTGAAAATTCGAATATCGAAAAATCGAAAAGTCGAGAAACTGTAAAAACGAAAAATCGAAAATTCGAAAATTCTAAAATCGAAAAGTCGATAAATCTAAAAAAAATGAAAAATCAAAAATCGAATCGAAAAATGAAAAATTAAAAAATTAAAAAATTGAGTAATCGAAAACTCAAAAAGTGACACAGTTCGAATAGTCGAATAGTCGAAAATTGAATAATAAAATCGGAAACTCGATAAATCGAAAAATACAAAAATCTAAAATTAAAAAAATTGAAACATCGAAAAATGGAAGAGTTGAAAAATCGAAAATCGAAAAATCAAAAAATCGAAAACCGAAATAGTGGAAAATTCGAAAATTGGAAACTAGAAAAAAAGTAGAATTGGAAAATTGAGAAATTGAACCCTCGAAAAGTAAAAACAATGACAATTCAAATATCGAAAAACTAAAAATTCGAAAAATCGAAAAGTCGGGAAACCGAAAAAACGAAAGAGTAAAAACTGAAGTGTCCAAATTTTGAAGCATGGAAAAGTCGAAAATTCGAAAAATCAAAAATCGAAAAATCAAAAATCGAAAAATCGAAAAATTGAAAAATCGAAAAATGGAAAGAATTTGAGAAATCGAAAAATCTAAAAGCAAAACAATTGAAAATTCTACTAGTCGAAAATCAAAAACTTGAAAAATCGAAAAATAAAACAATTGAAATTCAAAAAATCGTGAAATAAAAAAGTTGGGAATTCGAACAATGAAAAATTGAAAAATCAAAAAATTCAAAACTCGAAAAATCGGGAAGTGGAAAAATCGAGAAATCCAAAAATCGAAAAGTAAAATAATTGAAAATTCGAATATCGAAAAATCGAAAAGTCGAGAAACTGCAAAATCGAAAATCGAAAAATCAAAAAATCGAAAACCGAAATAGTGGAAAATTCGAAAATTGGAAACTAGAAAAAAGCAGAATTGGAAAATTAAGAAATCGAACACTCGAAAAGTAAAAAGATTGACAATTCAAATATCGAAAAACTAAAAATTCGAAAAATCGAAAAATTTAAAAATCGAGAAATGGAAAGAATTTGAGACATCGAAAAATCGAAAAGTAAAACAGTTGAAAATTCTACTAGTCGAAAATCAAAAACTTGAAAAATCGAAAAATAAAACAACAGAAATTTGAAAAATCGTTATGTAATTGGAAAATCGAAAATCGAAAATCCACAAGTCTAAAATTTAAAATCAAATATCGAAAATTAAAAAACCGAAATATCGAAATATCTAAAAATTGAGAAAAAAGAAAAGTTGGGAATTCGAATAATGAAAAGTCGAAAAATAAAAAAATCGAAAACTCGCAAAATCGGGAAATGGGAAAGAAAGGAGGGAATTTTGAAAGAAAAAAGGCATGAAAAGGACAGAGAGGGGAAGACAGACAAAAAACAGAAAGGAATAAAGAGAAATAGACAGAAAAAGTAGAAGGGAAGAAAGGAAGACAGAAACAGGGACAAGAACGACAAAAAAATGTAGAAAAGACAGAAAGAATGACAAAAGAAAAGTACAGAGAACGAATTTCAAAAAATTACAGATCGGAAAACATTCGGAAAAACACAAAAGGAAAACCGGACAAGTAGAAGACCATAAAAATAAAGATCAAAACAATAAAAAGAAACGCAAAAATAGAAAGGAATGGAGGAATAAATACAGCAAGAGACATAAAGAAAAGCACAGAATGACAGAAAGGGACAATGAAAGAAAGACGAAAATGAAAAAGTCGAAATAAAGATGGAAAAAATGACAAACAGAAAAACAGTGCACAAAGGGATACAGAAAGAAACACAAAAGAAATATTGAGGAAAAAAAAGACAGAGACAAGCAATATAGCGAAAACTGAAAACAGAAAGGCAAGAGAACCCAAAGAATGACCAATTGGGCCAGATCTTCGACATCTACCATTAAATAAAAAAACCAACCTGATTTTCAAAAGTCCTATCGCACAATTTCTCCATTTCTAGCCACACTAACGCAAAATTTCGCCCGCTGTCTTAATCGATCCACCAACTTTAACCCACCGGTCCACCGAGATCCAAATTTCGCCAGCGAAACCCCCCAACAAACCTAGTTTCCTCCACGAAATAACAACTCTATTCCCTGCCCAGCGACTCTATTATATATTTATTCCTGACCCGATAATAGGATAAAGCTTCTATTTTAAGCCAATATCCGCCCACCCGCCCCCCCAATCAAAACAGGCATCCCTAATCCCCCGATCAATAAACCAATTATCAGCGACACCGACGCCGCCCCCATTAGATCCGCCGCATCTTGAATTTGCTGTCACTTCCGGCGACACGGCGCAATTTACCGAACACTCGGCACGGAAAACATCCAACGAAAAAAGCAACTCCGAATTACGTAATACGGTTTAGTGTACGTTTTATTGCCGACAGCGTGATTCACGAGGACAGGAAGCAATGCATATGCACACGAACCGGCCAACATTTCATGCCCATATCGCGGCTTGTGCGTGTTCGTATCTCGAGAGATTAAAATTTCGACGAAATCGCAAAGTTGTTGGTTGCGTCGGAGGCGAGGCAAGTTCGGGGCAATAACTTTGCGCGTTTTTCTTTTTCATTTAATTTTCCGCTATCTAAATGGCGGCGATGAGTAACGTTTATCCTTTTCACGCGCGATTTCCGCTGGATGTGTACGCCGCCGGAGGATCCCGGAAGAATCCGGGGCGATGCGACGTGAAAATACATAACACAATATATTCGGGAGATGTTCCGGCGGCAAGTCGATATCGGTAATCTACATCTGCTTAGCGGAGCTGGAAGTTTATGTGAGTGTGAGGAATTGCGGATTTATAGATAGACGAGTGAGAAAAACACTGCGTGAGAAATTTCCGGCGTTACCGGAATGCTCCGGATTTAAAATTCGAACTCGGTAATGAAATTCGGGCTCTATTTAATAGAACTGTCATACCCGAATAGTCTGACCGCAACTCAAGCCACCGACTGACTCATTAAACCACACGAAACATTCCATCAATTAGATAACATGTCTTATCACACTCGTCCACAAGATTTCGCAAAAAAATAAAAGCAAAAATCGGCGAATGCAACACCACCGAAATTACACAACGACAAAGAAGTATAAAAGTACCAGTTGTTGTAGCAACGATTTAGTTAACACTTGCAGCAATGACGACTCTTTGGTTCTTCGTAAGTACCGTCTTTCCCTAATATTAGTAGTACCATCATCAAAACACCCATTTTCAGATCATACCCATCGTACATTTAGTTTTCGCCGAAGACGACGGCAGCTACTCATACCACAAATTTAGCGGACCAGTGAGTGGGAACATCCGCGAGGTGGTAGTACCTAGGCGCTACCCCAACCAAGGATATACTCTGGACTATGTGGCGACGCCAGACTATCTGTATTCGTATGGGGTGGAAGACCCATTAAATCTGAATCGACAGATTCATAGAGAAACCAGAAACGGAGATAACGTACAGGGAGAATACAAGGTACTACAACCCGATGGGCTGGTGAGGATTGTCAAGTACAGCGCCGATGGTACTAATGGGTTTACGGCGACTGTGCGATACGTTAAATTGTAGCAAGACTGTTTTTGTTGTTGTTCTATGTGAATAAAGTTGTTGAGTTTTAATCGTTTGAGTTTTCGTTGCAAAAAATTTCTATGTGGTTGTAGGTAAGCGAAGAAAAATGTTTGCTGCACCGGTGGGAATCAAACCACACATCTCCCACTTGCCAGGCCTTGACCACTAGACAACAGAGCGGCTTATCTTACCAACCTGTTAAAGCCGTCACATGGTTATGATTAAAATAAATAAAAATTTAGGAAATTTGAAGCATCTAATTCAATAGATTGAATTGTACTCGGTATTAAAAGATCTCGAGAATCCTACAAAATATAATAAGTATTTAATTAACGAAAACACAAAATAATTACTTTGGCAATGAGAATGATGATCAGAAACAAATATAAAGTGGAACACTAAAAGAAAAAATATGTAGACAGAGGAGACAGAAACAAAGACTCACAGAAAGAAAACAACGGTTAAAATAGAGAAACAACAATAAAACGAACGAGGGCACAAAAGAACACGGAAATGAAAACAATGGAGATAAACTTACTAAAACGACAAGTAGAAATTAAAAAAATAAAGAATTATAGGAAAAGAAGACGAATAGAAAGGTAGAGGAACAGAATGAAAAGCTAAAAAAAAACAACAACAAAGACCATGAAAGAGAAAGACGGAAGGGAATCCAGAAAGAAAGAGAAATAAAAATAGGCAGAAACGAAGACAAACAGAACGCAAAAGAGTCAAAAGAAAATACAAAAAGGGAAACAGACAGTAAGAAAAACAGCCACAGTGAAAGATAGACAGAAAGAAAAGCAAACAGAAAAAAAGAGAGAGACAAAACATAATAATCTAAAAGGAAAACACAAAAAAATAACAAATAGAAATAAACAAGGAGAAATACCGAAGGAAAAATTATATCGACAAAGAAGACGGCACAAAGAAAGACAAATAAAAACGAAGACAGAAAGAAAACAAAGTAAAATACGGAGAAACAAAAATAAAAAGAATGATAGGCAGAAAGAAATCGAGAAAGGAACATAGAAATAACGATTGACAGAAAAATAAGACAGAATGAAAAAAACAGACAATAAAAAAAAGTAAAATAGAGAAACAATGACAAAGAAAATTACAAAAAATATAGGAAGAAACACGGAAAGAAGAAAGGTGGACAGAAGAAAAGACGAAAATTAAAAAGACAGAGACAACAATGAAGAAAAACAGACACACAGAAAGATAAACAGGGAGAAAACAAAACAGAAAGAAAAATACCAAAAAAATATTATATAGACAGGGAGGAAGATAGCAAGATGCACGGAAATGAAAAAGACAAAGATAAAACTACGAAAATGACAGGTGGAAAAACATACGGAAAGAAACATAGAAAAACATACAGAAACGAAGACAGAAAAAAAAACAAAAAGCACATGTAATACAAAAAAAAAAAACGGCAGAACAGAAGACGTTAAAAAGGCAAAGAGGAGGAACGGAAAAACGAAAAACTAAAAAAGCAGAAATACAGAAACAAGAACCACGAAAAAAAAGGAAAGACAAGAAGACTTAGAAGGACGAAAATTAAAAAGACAGAGATAACAATAAACAGAACTTTCCATAAAACACTAAAAGAAGGACAGACAGAAAAGACAAAAGAAAGATAGCAAGATACATTGAAATGAAAAAGACAAAGATAAATTTAGAAAAATGACAGGTGAAAAAATATCTGGACAGAAACATAGAAAGTACATGTAACACAAAGAAACAAGCATAACAAGAATGACAGGAAAAGAAGACGACAAAAAGGTAAGAAGAAGAAAAGAAAAAACGAAAAAAACTAAAAAAGCAGAAATACGATGACAAAAAACCACAAAACCACGAAACGCGGAAAAAAGTAAGACGGGAAGACTAAGGAAGACGAAAATTAAAAAGACAGAGATAACAATAAAAAGAACTTTCCAAAAAACACAGAAAAAAAGACAAACAGAAAGATAGGGAGAAAAAATAAAAAGTTGAAAAAATACAAAAAAAGCAAGAAAACATAGTAACAATATTCAGTATACAAAGAAAGAAAGAAAGAAAAAAAGAATGGAAAAAAAATAGACACAAGGGACAATAAAAGTGAGGCAGGCAGAAGAAAACACAGAAAAGGAGACATACTGTAAGAAAAACAAACAGAAAAGTAGACTGGGGGAAAAAAGAAAAGCAAACAGGAAGAAACGCGAAGATAAGGAATAAGAAACCGGCAGGAAAACACAAACAAATTATGTAGGCAGAAAGAAAGACAAACAACCAAAAATTCAAAAACACGAAAAGAAAATATATGTAAACAAAGGGAAAGACAGAAAGATATAAATCAGATGTGAACCAACGCGGAAAGAAAACAAAACGTAAAACACAGAAAAACAAAATCAAAAAAAATTACAGATCGTAGAAAATCCAGAAAGTAACACAGAAATAAAGATTGACAGAAAAGAAGACATACAGAAAGACAGGGTGAAAGAATCAAGGCTTAAAGAATACAAACAACAATTAAAGAAATATAGAAAGAAACAGAAATAAAAAGGTAGACAGAGGGAAAGATAGAAGTGAAGACAAATAAGAGAGGCAGAATAGGAGGCAGCCTGTAAGAAAAACATAGAGTGAAAGATAGACCGGGAGAAAATTAGAAAAGCAAACAGAAAGAAACAGAGACAAAGAATAAAAAACCGAAAGAAAACCACAAAAAATTATATAGGCAAGGAGAATGACAAACAAAAAGGAACAAAGAAAAACACCAAAAGAAAGAATGTGCAAAAGGCAAAAATAGAAAGAAACTGGGACATGAAAAAAGGCGAAAATGACAGGTGGAAAAACATTGGGAAAGAAACATATAGAGACAGACAGACACGAAGCCAGCAGAAAGAAATCCAGAAAGAAGCATAGAAATGAAGATTGACAAAAAAAAAGAAGATAGATAGAAAGACAGAGAGGAAGAATGAAAGAACAAAAACATAAAAAAAAAACCGAAAGACAGAAACAATGACAAAATAAAAGAAAGACAGCCTCTTTATTAATTCTTAAGTTCCAATTTCCAGCAGTTTTAAATTTTCAATTCAGGACTTCATTGCTTAATTTTTCATTCCCAAATCAAGTTTCCAAATTTTTTAATTTGTAGTTAATTTCCAGTTTTCAGTATCAGATTTCCGGTTGACAATTTCTAGTTCGAAATTTCCCATTCCGATTTTTAGTATTATTCAGTTCTCAGTTTTAAATTTCCAACACTGAATTTCTGAGTCCAAATTTCCTTATTTTTAGTTCTGTTCCTAATTTTAATTGCCAATTTTTAATTTCAAATTCTAAATATCATCTTTAGTTAAATCATTAGGAGTTAGTCTTATTTTAGAGCTGTTAAAAACTGAAAACTCAAGATTTTAGTGCTTTTAAAATTCCCCTAAAATCCACAGTAGTCCTCCTTCGTGACACTTTATTTTAAAATTCCGCATAAAAACCCACCCACACTTGTCCCTATTCCATTCCACGTTGGTATTCCTGCTCTACATCCCCTATCTACATAAAGGTTACCAACTTACGAACAAAACTCAAACCCGATTACTCAACTTCACCCAACCACGCTCATTCTTCCTTTTATTCTCAAAGGACTTAAACGCACCTCCCCGCCGATTAAATAACAGAATATCGCCGCCGCCGACCAGAATATCAATAACTCTCTTACACTGAATCATAATCACTCCGGAAGTCCACAAATCAAATCGATTAAAAATACAGCGGTCATTACCACCACTATCCGCCAAGAATATAAAAGATTGATCGTTCGCCATGAATCGCAGTGGCGCCAACCGTAAAAAAACGTGCGGTTGTTTACATACCACTTCCTGCACCACACACTTCTGCGAATGACGTCACGCTTTTCGGTGGGGGTACTACACGAATTTCCTATTTGCAATGTGACACTAATAAAATAACATTAGCGGAAATCTCCATTTTCGTGTACTTTAAAGCCTCCATTACATTGAAAAAATTTCGCCAAGGTCGCTGATTAACCGCACGATCATTCAATTAAGCGCGGCTCCAATAAGAAGTCATGTGAATGCGCCGTAAACGTAATCCAGAGGATATTTCCGCCTCCATTTACGTCACAAACATGTAGATGCAAGTGGCATGTAAACAGGCCATTAAATCGTAACAAAAGCAACGTGCATCTTAGGGCCCGATTTGGCCTGGTTTGGGCGGATTTACGTTTTAATTGGTGCGAGGGGGCGGAAAAATGGGGGTGTGCGTGGATGATCGTATCTTAAAACTTGCTCGATTAAACTAGAACTAGAGTGGACTTGGAACAGACATTAGGGGATTGGGAGAAGTTGGATCGGGGGACAATGGGGGAGTTGAGGTGCGAGAGATGCGCGAGGAGGGGGCGGGAGACGGCGGCGTGGACGTGGGAGGCGATGCGGAGACTGATGGATGTGGGGGGCGAAATTGAGTGGATTTTTGTGGCGGAAGGATTTGGAAAAAATGCGAAATTAATATGCAATTTTTGGAAACCAAGTTGGTCAATATATTTTTTATAAAACTTCCTTGGTGGAAATTACAATAATAGTATTAGAATTTTATCTCCAGCATTAATAGTATCTCTGGATTAAAATAAAATGTTAGATTTTATGAATTTTATTTATTTGTAGTTCAAGGATTATTGGAAATTTCATTAGCAACTACCCAGTGACCATTAATGTTTGTGTTTTTTCGTCAGGTTGGCACACCTAACGTCAAATTCAAATTTTGGGCACCAGTGCAGTAGCTGCCATCTTCTCATTGGTTTTTAGACACGCTCTTGTCAAAATTGACAAGTGCGAACTGACCTAATATTGTTGCCAATTATTCAGCATTGCCAACCCAAAAATTTGCTTTCATCATTAGTAGTCACCTGGAATATATTCACTTACTTAAAACCGTTGATATTATAGAATTCCTAGGATTTAAAATTTTTCTAATTGAAATATACACTACAATACAATCCCTTTTTT